CACGTATTTTAAGATATCAACCTTCCCGGAAAGGGCACAGCGTTAAAATGGCCAAAAACGCATCTCCAAGACGGCATGAACAAGGATTTCACCAAATCCAGTGATATCATAAAATAAATAAATAAAGAGTCTATATCTCATGACTATATACATAGAACAGCCCCAGATTAATCATATATTCCATTTCCATGTCAATTAATTCAATTAATATCAAATTCATTTATAACAAATCCATCAAACATCCTCAATACCTAGAAATAATCATCCAACATCCACTTCCAATCCCCTTTTCACCAGAAAAAAAATGTGCTAATTATTTGAAGGGAAAACACAAGCAAGGACGATAACATCACACAAAGCATAAATTAAAGAAACAAAGTTTCCATACCAAGAAGTATCCAAGAAACCGAAAAAAAACTGAACGAGGAAGAACAACAATAAGAATGTACATACAAAAAAAATATCTTAAATAAGTGCAAATAACAAGTTTCTGTATATTTTTCGTAGAAGAGTAAAGAAAACACAAGAGAGTGAAATATAAATAAGGAACGTAGTTTTGAAAGAAGACGAAGAAACAGCACACGATGTACAAATAATAAAAAATAAAGGAAGAGAAAAGATATTTGAGATTAAATTTTATTTTACAACTGCAAATGAAAAATAAATTCCTCTTTTCCTTTTACATCTTTTTATAATAATATTTTTTTTATTATACACACACTGATATACACGTAGAGTGTACATATAAAAACCCCCCCATTTATAGCGTTAAAAAAGTGCAATAAAAAGTATCATAAAACATTTTCAGATGCCTTGAATTGGTACGTTATGTTATGTTATATACCTACATGCTAGAATAATAAAATTATTTAAAATAAATTTTATCTTTTCGCCTTTCGCCGGGGCTCTGTTTTATTGCTATAACTTTTTATGATCGCTGTGTCTCTCTTTTTCATGCTTTTCTATCTCTATTTACTCTTCTTGCTGCTATTCTTTTCTAACTTGAGCTGAAGGGAGTTAATGGGAAATGTATGAATTTGCAGAAATTTATATTTTTTTGATATAAGGTTTAGTTTGGAGATGTGAGTTTGTGGATATACCAACATATATGTGTAATTTTGGTAATAAAAAATAGAACTAGCTGGGGAATTTGATGAGGATGAGTGGGATGGGCGTATTTTTATTGGGGGTAGTAAGGTGATGTACTTGAAAAAACATGAAATATTTTTAAACAATTTATTGCGATCATTAGAGTTGAGGGTTTCAAATTGATAACAAGAAGTTCATCAAGTTGTAGTCTTATCCTACAAAGATACTTCCATAAAATAACTTTTTCAAACTTATCTCATTTTTAATCGATAGCCGTTCAGATCAATTGCGATGCAGGGTCCAGACATTCCTGGCTAAGCCCTTGATTGTGATCTATGATTCCCTAAAATGAGGATAAAAATATGAATTTTTTAAGAACTAAGCATTTACACATATGAGAATAACAGAAGTTTTAAAGGCTGGTTTCTTGGTGGATCCTAGAATATGTTCTGTAATATGCATTAGCTTTGGTGCACTCGTTTGAGTATAAAGCAGAGCTCGAAGTCGATGGAATTTTGTATGGAGTCGAGTCGACTCAGACCCTGACTCAGACAAAATCGATGAAAATCTAGAGTCGATTTCGAGCTCGGGTATAAAGAGACTAAACCATCATCTATGATATTAAATGCCAATGCTAGCAAACAGAAATTTTTGAGTTCTTATTATTCGAACTTCGAATTTTTGAAGTTCTTATTTTTCGAAAATCGAATCTTCGAATTTCTTATTTTTAAAAACATGCGTTGTGAATTACCTATTATTTTTCGAGTAATTTGTAATTTAAATGAACATTCCTACTAGTTTTTATGATAAAGATAATAACTGTGATGAAATTGCATTCCTTAAATGTTTTTGCTTTAAAGAACAGCTAGCTTAAAAAAAAATAAAAAGTAACGGACTTTCTTATTTTGAAATTTTAAAAAAATACCGCACGGAAATTTTGAAATTTTTTTGTTTGTAACGAACTCTGTTCTCTTTGCTAACATTGGATTAAATGGACAGGAATATTGATGCAAAACTCTTGCTCAGGTGTTATTGTATAACCCGAGAGTACGTCCTAGTGAATAGTGATCAACTGCTTGGGTTGTAAAATAAATTACCTCAGTCTTGTCCTAATTTGTCCAGAAAACATATTAAACCAGTCAACATGCGGAATATCCTTAACTTTTAAGAAATATATCTTGTCGCTCTAACCCAAAAGACAACGTCGTAAGTTAAAGCTTCAGGTTGGACCCACTGAACCATACTAAATTTTAAAACTACTATAATACTAGACTAAAAGATAGATATCCTACTATACAACACCAGAAGTGGTGCTTACTAGTGCATACTGAACATTTGATCCTTTTAAATCAGTGACTTTGAGGATTTGGAACTTAAATTTGAAAAGCCTGCTTATTTATACACTTTTTAGGCTGAAGCGCACGTGGGCCCAATGCTGCGTTTAGAGAACGTCTTAAGACAGCTCTATCCTTTGAAGCCTTCAACTAGTTCGGGATATTATGGAATAAAGCTTTGTTTAAATTTGAAAAACTAATTAAATTCGAAGGATAGCATTGCATTGTTCCAAACTTCCCATAATTACAAACTTTTGAATAGATAAGAATCAAATAATTGAAACTAATCTTAAGATTGAGAATTGAAACCAAGTTGCGAATAAAGACGCTCAAAATAAAGAAAAATAAAATAAATAAAACAATTTGGAAAAAAAAAAAATCTTCAAGCATCCGCAAACCAGAACTCAATTCCCCATCTCCAAATATAAGAAAAAAACATTCAATTCCAACAAAAATAATCCTCATATCAATTTTTTTTATATTAAATATAAAAATCCCCATCCATTTAAAAAATAAACATCATATCACTTTTACGATATCCGAAAAAAAAACAGAATCACAACTTCATTTTTAATGACAGTCGGAAAAATATCAAAAGAAGTTGAACTTACTGAAGTGCAAATAAAACTTTTTTTTTCTTCTTTCCTCTCCATCCACTCCGTTCCGTAATTTCTTTTTATGCAATAGCGAAGCGAAAAAAAAATAAAATTCATAATACAAACGACATAAGCAATGCAATGAAGAGAAAATGAAATGAAAATCTTCTTATTATACTCATTTCATATTAATTCAACCTCGTCATGAAAATACAACAATGTTTTTTTTTTTATGTACGAACAAATGTTAATGCTTTATGTATTAAAATTCTTTTTATCTCTTTCCTCTTTCCGCTTAACACGGTTGTGAGCATGGCGACATGTTTGGTGAGAGTAAGCTGTGAGAATTGAGAGAGTAATGTGAGAGAATATCGGCCATTGTGGGAGAGAAATTTGAGAGAGTGTTGATGTATTGGGAAGAAATTAGTGGACTTTTGAGGGTGTGGACGAACTTTTTCGTGGGAAAATCTTTAAAAACTTTTTGTTGAAGATATTTTTGAGGTTATTTTCATTGATTCTTGTAGGATTGCCTTTGATAAATCATACAAATCAATAAAATTGCAGAATATCATTAATAATCATACAGAAAACCTCGCAGACCGCAAAATAAATCAATTTCAAGCACATCTGATCAATTAGCAGCACATTAGTATTAGTGAGAGTTCAATGAACGCATACAACTCACAAAAACGTCATATGTTCCTCGATTTTATGAAGAAAAAATTTTTTATAGGGAATTTCCTACAAATACATTCGCAACTTTCATATCCATACACGTGAGAGAGCATCGTGAGAGCCGAGAGAGTAATTCTCACTGAAACCATATTGCATCGTTCTTTCTTGTGTGTCATTCGCTTCGTACCATCGAGCAGAGTCAGTAGAGGTTCAATCCTCCAAGAGAGTGTATCGTTTTGTCCTGAAAATATAATAATAATATAAAATACAAGACAGTCAAAAAAATAAGAAGAAAAGAAGGAAGAAGAAGAAAAAAATATTTTTTTTACCTAAAAAAGAAAAAAATAAAGAAATTTATATACGAGGAGCTAAACTAGAGCTCGTCTATATAGCAGTGATATGAAGAAACAATAATTTAAGTACGCAAAAGATAAAAAGTCGCGTGAACTTTAAGAAGAAAAAATTCGTGAATTTTGAAGAATTCTCGTGAAAAAAAAAATAGAAGACTGAGCTATAAAAAAAAATCCATATTCGGTACTTTTCGGATGAAAAAAAAGGATACGAACAGCTGGAAAAAAAATCGATAAATCTAAAGAGTCTTTACGCTTTGTGAATGTGTGTGCAAAAAGAAATATTTTAGAATTAAAGGAAATTCATTCAAATCAAATTTTTTTTCTCTCGTTCAAACAAAAGACTGAGTTCTTTAAGCCAACACGACTTTTAATTTATTTTTTTTGTGGATCCTGAGAAAAAATAAAATTGCACCAGCAAGAAATAAATCCGACGAGCTACTAAAATTAAGGATCCTAGTGTGTACATAAATTACCACAAAAAAAAGAAAATAATAAATCAACCACCTTTTGGATTAATGTTCCTGGTTACTGGTTACGTGTATTAGTTTAGTGAAAAAAAAGTAAAAGAAAAGAAAAATTTGAAATGTGAGGAAAAATTCAAATTTAAAGAAGAAAAATTTATCAAAGCAGAGCAACAAAAAAAAATAAATTTTTTTTGTGAAAAATTTTTTTTTGTGAATCGCCTCGAGACATAAAAAATAATAATATAACCGCATATCTTTTTGGATTAATTCATCAATCATCATTAGAAGCCAATCCAACTCAACTCACAAGAATATATAATAAAAATATTATCTGGATTAATTATAGTGCCAAAAAAAAATATAAAATTAATCGAAAAAAAATATAGATAGAAATTATAAATAAAGTGATACTGCAAAAAAAATATCGACGGAAAAAAAATAATAATTTTTTTGTGTAATAAGAAAAAGCTACACACAAAAAAAATCTGCTAAAATGATCAACTTTTGGTGAAATAAAATTGAGAATTGCAAAACAAAAATTGTAAAGAAAAATAAAATAAAATTTTTTGTGATTTCGTGTGTCAGTGTGTGACCTAAAAAAGATATCAAATAAAATTTTTTTTTGTGGATTACTTCTGCACTTTTGGATTACACATCGTGAAAAAAAAATAAATAAAATAATTAAAAATGGCTATGACAGCTTGTTATCCAAACTACGACATGTCATTATCTAGTTCACAATCGATGTCACATCATCACCATCACCATCTTCAGCATGGTGCGTCAATGCAACAATCAAATCGTGCCGCAAGCATTTTGGCAGCGACACATCAGCAACAATCTCAACAGTCACCTCAAACAACACAGCAGCAGCAGCAACAACAGCCACCTCAGAAAGACTATAGTATACCATTGCATGTGGACTGCAGTGTAGAATATGAGTTGCCAAATCAGGCAAAGCCACCGGTCGGCGGTCGTGTTGAGCCATTATTAATGATTCATCCATGCTATTTTCGCAAAATGGAGAGTCAAAGACGTAGTCCATTCATTAATAATATGCCAAATTCATCATCATTACGCAGTTCTCAATCAAATCAAATGACATCCGTGTCATCGTCATCGACTGTATCAACGTCATCTAGTCGACGTCCAAATGTTATTGGAGCGTCAAATAGTATTGCTGCCAAAAATAATCAAACAAATGCGCATTTAATGTCTAATCAAAATGTGATTCCTACACATCAGCTGCAACCACAACAACAGCAGCAACAGCAGGGTCACATACAACAGCAACAACAAATTAGTCATCAACATAGTAGCTTGCAACATCAGAATTTACAGCAGCAACTTGACGAATATGTCCAACGTCAAATGGCTCATATTTCTCAGCAAGCTCAATTTCCATCAATTGCGCAACATCAACAGCAGCAGCAGCAAGTGCAACAATCAAATAGTCAATACAATATGCCAACTCAGCATCAACAGCAGCAACAACAGCAAATGCAGGCGAGTGGCAATTGGGAACGATATCTAAATAATATCCCAAATGCATCAATGTTGGGAAAGGTCAATATACCAAATCAAAACGCTTATAAGAAGAGTGGCAAGCGCCATTTGACGGCTACATGTGCCAACTCATATTCGACGAGCCATTTAGAGGGCGCATTGCCCAATGGCATCGCACGATGGGATGAAAAGACTGTAATGGCCACAATACCACGTGATTATCAATCAGGTACTGAACAGCAACAACAACAACAGACATCAACGATGCCTTCACAACTACAAATGACTGGAGCAAAGGTATCATCATCAAATGGTGTTGTCGTTGCCGGTGCATCATCATGCAATGGTGTTAATACAAATATTAATAATAATAGTAATAATAATAATACAAATAATATGTATCGTGGTATAACAAGTGGTCAACAACAATCCGTTCTTATGAGCGGTGCGACAAAACGTGATCGTGATCCGATGCTTTCGGGTGGCTGTATTTATAGTAATAGTAACAATAGTAATACAACAGACATTAATAACTTAGTATCGACGGGACTATGGCCGATTCAGAAAAGTCCAATGGCTGCCATTCCAAACAATAATTATCATCAAGCCGGTCCTGATTCAATTCCAAATAATAATCATAGTTCTAATAGTAATAGTAATAGTAAAACTACTAGCAATGGCATGACGAATCGTCAGCCATCAGGAAATACTGTTATCCATCATTCTCATTATGCCCAACAGCAGCAGCAGCAGAATATTCATCAAAGTGATAAGTTAAGCAACAACAACAATAATTCTAATAATAACAATAGTAATGCGAATAATAATAATAACAATAATACGAGTAACAACAACAACGTTATAACAGTGAAATGTCGTCAATATCGCAATACCCATCGAATGCATCCGTACATGATGAATACTATGACTGCTCCATCGGTCAACAATACTTTATCCGGTGTCTCATATTTTCCGCAACTCAATGGCCCATTCTCACAAATTCAGCAAGTCTCATGCTACAATGTGTGATTGAATTAATTTGAAATATTTTTTTTTGAAATAATATATGAAATATGATTCGCGGGATAGCAGAAGAAGAAAGAAAAGAAGAAAAGAAAGAGAGAAAAAATATTTTTCCTTATTGATTAATTTTTTTGTTTCTATGTTTTTAATTTAAAAGAGTTTTTACTACTATGTTCTATAGACCTTGTTCTTCTTACTTAGCTTATGAGTTTTGATATATATGTGAAGTTTTGTGAAAGGAAATGAGATATGATCAGATTGAGATATAATGAATTATTATGTGAAATGTGAATTTTTTAAAAATTAGAGAATTTTTCATAAATTTGAAAATTTGAGAATTATTTGTACGTATGAGGTTATTAAAATTGTGAAAAAAAATACTTTTTTGAGTGAGGATTTTTATTGAATTTAAAAAAAATCATTTTTCATCAAAAATAATAAAAGATTCAAAAATTAGAGTAGATTTTAATTCAAAAAAATTAAAAAAGTCTTAAAAATATTTTTCCATAAGACTACTGAATTTTATTTTAAATGATTAGATTCGAACTTTATATTTTATTGGTGATTTGAATCAAATTAAATTTTTATTGTAATTTTAAAATGACATTATAAAATTGAAAAAATTATTCAAATGTTCCTATTCAATTGTGACTGATTAGGATTCCAACCAAAGTTTCATAGCAAAATTAATTTTTTATTCATTTTTGTTTATAAATTTTTATCAACAATTTTCAAACTTAAATCGCAAAAAAAAAGTTTTTCAATTTTATTTTCAAAAAGACCAATAATTCTGACCTACAAAAATAATATATTCCCTAACCTCACTCATTCAGAAAATAATTATTTTTCCTCAAAAAAAATATTATCTCATTCACAGAAAAACAACATCTAAGATTAACAGTTTCCCATCGGCCTCTAATTTATTTTATGATTTATTACAAGTGGGAAGTGAAATTAATTTTTCTTTTTCAATTTTTCTCAATAAATTCAAAAATGCAAATATCAATGATAAATTTTGTGTACTAAAAAAATTCCATTTCGCGAGATTTCTCATAATTCATTAAAATTTATTAACATTTTTTTTATATATTTCGGCATCCCTCGCACGAACAACAGAATTGGAAGTGAAAAGAAAAAAAAATATAAAAAAATTTATTATGTTAAAAATAGAAAAATCTTGACGCAATCTGTTATGTTCATTAGATTGATGATTATTATTATCATTCTCAATAAAAAGCTAAGACCCCGCATATATATTAATATTCATTAACTTGCATATTTATAGATTTATACGTTGAAACAAGAAGAAGAATGAAATGAGATTTAATTTGTATATTTGTATAGACGTTGGAACATGTTACATGTACACATTATATTGTAATTAATTAAAATTAATTCTTCATTTTCATTTCGACATAAAATTTATGAAATTTTTTTTTGTTGTGAAATTTTTTTCTCTCTTCTTTTTTTAAAAAAAAAATTGAATGAAAATCTTCTTATTCTAATATTTTTATGTCTAAATTCTTTAATGACTAAATACACGTACGAAATAAGACGATGTAATTAATTTATTGAGGATCGTAGTTGATCAATGAAATTCATAAGAAAAATAGAGCATATTTATGGGTTGATGTCGATGAAGTGGAAGAGGGGAAGGGGTTCGGCTAGATTTGATGAATTTTGATGTCTTTAGCTATTCGATTAGCAGCTAGTAGCTACTAGTAGCTAATAGACTAGCTCAAACAAATTTAATCTAAATGTCTTCTCAAAAATGATTAATTTTTGGGATAAAACCTTATTAATAGGATTCAAACCTCAATTTTAAGCTTAATCAATTAGATTTTAAATTAATTTCTATAGATTTACATTTAAAATTGTGATTTTGAAACTTCTTAAAGTGTCTGGGTCAGTTTTGTTAAAGCTTTGAGTTCTTGACCTCATTTTCGAGTTCATGACCTAGTTCAACATTATTGGCTTTACTTTAAGAATTTTTCGATTTTGTTGCTTCATTTTTGAGATAAATTTTAAAGATGCCTCTAGATTTAGGGTTAAAAAAATTAAGTCCTAATTTTTGGATAGTTTTCTTCATATTGAAGTATTTAGTATTTTATCCAATTTTTAGAACAATTTTATTTCCTCAAAAAATGCAACATTAAAGTCATAAATTAAAAATAAAATCCACATAAGACCCCCAACAATTTCTGCTGACATTTTATTTAAAGCAGATCAAATTCTCAATGAAAAAATTGTGAATAACACACCCAATAGACTAATTCAATGACATCAGCTCATTTATAAAATAAAATTTCTCTTTTTCAAATCACTTCGAATGATGGATGAAAAAATAAAAAAAATAAAAAAAAATTCTGATGCAAAAAAAACTGATATAAAAAATTATATTGATAAAAAATGAATCATGGAGCAACCTTTTCGTTGCATTTTTAAATGTGATAGTAGTTTTTACTCCAAAATTTAATAAATTAAAAAAAAAAATAAAATGCTAGTAAACACAAAAAAAAATGCTAGTAAATGGATGACGGGATAATATACCTTTTTTTGAAAGATGAAATAATGAACTTTTGTCTCTTTTTTGCATTATAAACGAAAGTATCACAAGATTTCGCTAAACAAGAAAACAAAAAATAATCATATTATGGATGAATATCTCAAAAAATTTATATAGGAAAAAAAATTACGAAGTAAAAAGAAAAATTATGAAAAAATTTAACTGAAAAAAATATATTTTTGTTTTTATTTATTTTTCGGACTCTTTATTTTTTTGTTTCATGGACTAAATTCTTAAAAAAATTTATGTATGTATGTTTTATGGCATGCTCATCGACTGCCGATATAATATGTGTCATTCATTATCCTGAGAGATGCGAGATGATTTTTAACTGTCGAGAGTAGCTAAAGTTGAGAATTTTAATGTTTTAGGAAGCTACTGTAGGGATTTGCCTTAATATTATTCAGTACTCTGTTCTTTTTATAGAAATTCATGAACAATGTCTGCAGCGTCACACTCTCTTACTACAACCTTATCAGATTCATTTTATAAGATTAATTTTGTAGTGAATTTTAGGGCAACATAGACAATTGTTGAGGATACTCTAGGAAAATTTAAAGTTGGACTTGAAAAATTATAAAGCTAGGAGTTGATACCCTACTTGTTGGACGTCATAAATTGAATATCAATTAAGTGATCCTAACTTGACACTTACTTACTTGTTTCGCTGGCCGTACAGATCAATTGGGATCCATGGCTTCTCTTAGATGGCGCCTGAAGCTGGTTCTTTTGCTAGCTACCCTTTTCCAATACTGTCTCTGTCAACAGCTTCTTTCCAAGTGTTCTTGAGACGTCCGCGTGATCTTTTGTCATCTACAAAAACATTCTTAAAGGACTTTATTATTGGGAGCTTGAACAGGTCTCCTAACGACATACCCAGCCCAACAGAGCCTATTACCTTGTATCGTCGTACGATTTTAGCTTCATTATAAAGCTTGACGAAACTCACTCAATTAAATGATCAGATTCTGCATTTTTATTCACTTTTAAGGCAAAACTTAGTGATGTTATAATGCCGGCTTGGTATAAAACCTACCAAATGTGCAATTATGCCTGCAACTCGCCGGTTTTACTACATATCAATTTTAATTCAGTTCTTTCAGCAAAATTATTCAAAAAGCTACTCAAAAAATGATTCCTTCATAAGCTCACTAGGTCAAGATTTCAGCAAAAATTATCACTTCATTTCAGCTCAATTTATTCCATAGATACATGCTTTCAAGTACAATACTATTGACATGTCTTCAATAATTTCAGAGAGTCACATTTATTATTATTATTATCATGAACACGCTTGAGATGATAATAATTTTCATAGATTCTTTAATAAATTTGCCTGTTCCAGGGACAGCCTTGAACTGAATTTGAATGAAAATTTGTTCCGAGAAGATTAAATTGAATTTATTGGAGAGATTTTTTGCGTACTTTATTGTTATTTGATGAAAATTTATGAATTTTTGAGTGAGCTAGTCGAGTTCTGTAAATGAATTCTTGGAATTTGTGACTATTGGACTCATGACTAGCTCATTAAAGCTTAATAATGGAAATTGAAGTCATAAAATGAAAAATTTAGAACAAACTTGATAATATCAAGTCAAAATGACTAAAACCTCCCCAAAACTCAATTCTCAGATTACCAAAACTCAACAGATACCCAAAAAAAAAACTATCCAATCAAATTTATTAGAATGACCATCTCATTAACCAAAAAAAGAAATCTGGGGTAATTGAGTTAGCAAACGCTCTGGTTTGGCAAAATGTTAATGTAAGGAAATTTGAAACTAATGTTAAACATTTTCAAAGAACCCACTCATGTGAGAATAACTGATCACTGAAGTAATTTGGTGGTTTGAGAAAAAAAAATTTGGTATTTTTTGATGTTAATGGGGATTGATTAGGTTTAATTTTAAAAATTTTGTTATTGAGAAAAGGTTTAAAATTATTTAAAATGATGAAATTGAAAGTTGAGCTTGAATTTGACATGAATTTTGTTAACGTTTATTCGACTTATGAAATCTTAATCTGAATTGACATTGAGCTATAGCTTAAAGTATCTTAGAATGCCTTAATCTTATATAGTTGACTAATTCCGACGGAATAATCATAATTTGCCTTATTCGTCTAGTCCTAATAATTTAAATCATTTGAAATCACTTAATGACAATTCAATACTTAATTCTGACTTTATTTCAAAATTCCTTCTGGCAATTAAATTGACAATTGTTAAGCAAATAACAAAACTTGACAGAAAATCAACAAAAAAAATTTTTTAAAAATGCAAATTAAAGAAAACAACTCAAATTTCGTGAAATGAAGTGAAACTTAAGTTGATGAGTCAATAGTATTGCTGAAGTAGCTCATAAAAATGCTGGAATTTCATAATTTATCAGAAAACTTAAACCACAATCAAATAAAATTGACACTAGGTCAGTTAATGAGATATTTTGCTGATTAATCGAATGACTAAGTTTGTGGGAATTATTGATGGTTTAAAATAGATTTTTGAATTGAAAACTTAAAGCTTTGATTGGAAATTAAAATTTTTTATCGGAAATTTAAGGTTTTCTATTGAAATTAAGTTTTTTTTTATTGAAAACTTGAGGTTTTCGAATTAGAAATTAGATTTTTGAGTAGAAATTTTTGAATTCCTTTAAAAATTAAAGTTGTAGGTTGGAGATTCTTTTGTGGATTAAAAATTTTAAAATTGAAGATTTTGATCTAAAAT